AAACCCCTAAAAAAAGTAGAAATTTGCCCACAAGACGGACGGCCGACGTGGGGAGGGCGCCTAGCGCCTGAGCAGCATGACCCGTAAAAAGTCAAAGGTCATAGGGCACCCATATTGCGCAATCACCGTAAAAGCGCCGATTTAGCTAATTTTAGGGCGTTTAAAATTGATACAATCACATTATCGATTTTTAAAAAAACAATGAGATGGAAACCAATCAAAATTTTATGCTGAATAATATTTTTTTCTTCAAAAGTTTTTTTCTTCAAAAGTTTTTTTCTTCAGAAGTTTTTCTTCTTCAGAATCCAGACTTTGACCAGACTAGACAATGTACCATACCAAATAATTATTATGTTGAAATGGATTTTGTTGTACATATACTCATTAAACCCCTATATTTGTACTTAATTGGGCTTGATTTTCTATCTCTTAAGTTAGTCAGATTTTCAACTCAAGTTGCAGGAGAAGGCTTAGCAAAGTGCATTTCAGAAGTGTAAAATGCAATAGCTTCTCGTACGGATTTTGTATTTCCCCAAAACAAGTACAATATATATATACTCATTAATTAAAGTGATATATACTCACTAATTAAATGTAACAGTGAAAGATTTGCCCATATATTGGTATTGAAATAAAGAGCACATTTTAGTATCATGGACACACAGTTTACCTGTCAATTTGGTCATTTTCCGGGGGGTACGTTTATTCCGGAGGGTATGTTTATTAGACTTTGAAGATTTGTCCGGGGGGTATGTTTATTCCGGGGGGTATGTTTATTAGGGACATGAGAGTATCTTTGGTGAGGCCTCTTATGGCATTTTTTGCAGGTGGACATGTTTTCAGTTGGTGATACAGTCAGGATTTCAGACAAGATGGAGGAAGTGAAGAGACTACAGGCTGGACATGGGGAGTGGACTGATGCCATGAGATCAGTATGTCACATATATTGTATTTTGTTTCTAATGTCACGCACTTGGCCCATACCAGTAGAAAGCTTTAAAATAACCTAAGTCACATACATAGTCACAGTACTACAAGTATTGAACTTGTACTACAAGTAATGATAGAAATAAAAGGCAAAACTATTGCAGATAATCAAAAGAAATTTCACCTGAAGGAAGAGTTACAGTTGCATTTTCTGATATGGTACATACTGCTTTCTCTGTTCAGCACTCAGCATTTGAGAAAGAGTATGGGAGTTAAACACACACACACCAATATTTGTGGACTAGTACCCTGCAGTTGTAATTGCACAACAGGATGGCCCAAGAGCTACAGAAAGTGAGATGGGCATTGCCATGTGCAACATGCATGGTTGCAGGAAGGACTTTTACTAACTTTTGTAACATTTTGCATTTTTGCAGACCCTTGGCCAGCTGGGTACTGTACAGAAGGTGTACCATGATGGGGACCTGAGAGTGCTGGTGAATGGTCAGACTTGGACACTCAACCCCGCCAACATCACCATGGTACCACGATCTACCATCGACTCCAACAACACCATGGCTCCAGACAGGGAGCGCAGACAGAGCAGTAAGTACCAAGGGAGAGGTTAAGACTTAAAGATTTGTTGTAAAAACTAGCCTGTGTTACATAATCTCTCATTGTTAGGGGCCACCTTCTCCTCCTTTTTTCTAGGGGCCTAACCAGTGGAAAGTATGAAAGTAGAACTGTGATGTAGTCTGGTTATTGAAAGGACTATTTTTGATGGGATTTTTGCTTCCCTGATTTTGGGCAGACATTGGAATTCAGACCTGCTTCTAACATAAGTTGATGTGCATCTTCATGTCGACAGAACATACTACACCTGTGCCAAACCCATAATGTGTTAAGCACTTTGGTAGATGTCTCATTTAAGGTCATATATTCGTGTTTTCCTTCTATAGTTTACAAATGTTGTTTTGGAAAAGATATCGCTTGCAACAGGCAAAATTCTAATGCAACATTGACCAACGAAAACCATGAAACAATCTAGTTTTGCACCGGCACAGTACATTCTGCCGACATGCTATGTACATCAAGCATTACCAGACAAGTAAAAAAAATGACAATTGTGTTTTTGTTTTGTGTACATATAGACACTGTCCTGTCACTGCTGGAACAGATACGAGCCATCCAGGTGGACAACAACACTCCTGACAAACTGGTCAGCGAGGCAGCACAGGGGCATCTTGGGAAGGTTCACGAGCTGGTCACCAAACACCCTGACAGGGTAGGTGTTTTTAAGAATTGTTCAATTCTTTGACAAAAATGTATTTAAAACCAATACATCTTCTCTGGGTAGTGCTGCATACCAGTTCACTGGACTTGGATCCGGACTTGTAAGAATGTTTAGGTTCAAGTCCAAAAAAACCTAAAGTCAAGAACCGAGTCCGGACTCATTACCATAAAAGACTATTTCACATACCCCTTTTCTTTCCAAACCACCTAAAAGTTATTAATTAGTAAAACCTGTAGATTGCAAAATCTTTGCTGCAAAATGAAGAAAACATTGCCATCGGGCATCGTCAAGTACCGGCCTCCATGTTATGTGGCCAAATTTTCACCCAGACAACATTGCAAGGTTGGAAACATGCAATTTTTAAAAATTTGTATATGCCATGGGTTTAGGTCCGGACTTACAAGTCCAGAACTGAACCTAAACCTCTGGACTTGAATCCGGACCTGAACCTAAATGTGGGTTTAGGTATGCAGCACTATCCCTGGGTATCATACTTCACAAATCCAATAAAATAAAGAAGCACTTGTGGAAGTGACAAATACTCCAAGCAAGGTACATGTAAGATAAGATTTATTTTGATCTACATGTAGGAAATGTCTTGTGCCTTTTGTATTGTAAAGTTTTGTCAGAATATAGATAGAGAATAATAATTGAAATGTTGAAGACTTTGAGACAAATATTGTTGTGTTCTTTTTTCTGGATCAAACACTGTACCGTAATTACATGTTCTGCTACAGGTAGACACCAAGAGTTCTGGGAAGACTGCACTTCAGGTTTCCTGCCATCAAGGTTATCTGGACATGGTGAAGGTCCTAATCTTAGCTGGAGCTAGTCTGGAAGTCAAGGTCAGATCAGCAGAGGGATTTTACTTAATATTTCTTGGGCCATTCTCCTTGTTTCTTAGATGAACAACCCAATTGCAAGATGACTTCAGAGCTACGTGTCGGGATCTATGCTGATGACAAATGCCTTCAGTTTTTTCGTATTTAAAGATAGAGTTTTAGTTGAAGTTATTGTTTTGAAGTTGTTTTGAATGTAGGATCATGTGCATATTGTTTGCAACCTATCACATGGTGATGTGGTGTCAGGGGATTCAGCTATGTCTTGTTTTTGAATAGGATGATGATGGTGACACAGCCTTGCACTATTCTGCATTTGGGTGAGTTGAAGTGACTTCTTTCACACTTGTACATCTAATAGTTTGTGATCTGTGGTGGCTATATTTACTTGTAGCAGCCATGTCAAATTTTGCTATTCAAGCACACTGTCTATACAAAATTTGTATGATTTTATTATTATGTCTACCTTTGCAAAAAGAAAACACACTGTTTTTGCTCTGTTTCTTCTTCAAACAAAAAAACCTGAACCATGGTAACTACATGTAGTAGACAGCTGTTTGGTTACATTATGTAGCAAGTTTTTGAGGGGCTGGTCACCATTTGTCGAAGTAGGAATGACAGAAAGGGTAGTTTGTCACTAGACCATATAATAAAGGTAAACATAATGTATTTGCTTTGCAAATGTTGCCTTTCTAATTAGGTTTATGATAAGAAAGGTGTGTGTCATTTTTGGCGACGTCTCAGGGAGGAGCCTAATGGTACAGTATTGTGTGCAGTTTGCAAGAATTCTAGGAATGGTACAGGCATTTTGTCCACAGGAATGGAATGTCCACAGGCATGTCTCTGGCCCACATCTATGCCCACATTCCTGGCAACCCTTGGGAAGACCTCTCTTCCTCACATACATGAAATGATGGCACTACCATGCAAATAATAACCCTAACAGCAACCACCGTCGCCATTTCAATGTATTTTTTCATTGCCAGTCTTGTTGAACTTGTTTTGTTCCGTTCCCATATAGAAACCAACCAGAGATAGCAGAGCTGCTGCTGACCAAGGGTGCCAGCGTGAACGCCACCAACAACAGCGGCTGTGGAGCGCTGCACGTGGCTGTCAACAAGAGCCATGTTCGCTGTGTCAGGGTGCTGCTCAACCACAACTGTAACATCAACACACAGGTACAACACTATTACATCTGGCCAGAACATACTGCACCTGCGTGGAACTCTGGGTTTTCTATTTTGCTCTTGCAGACAATATCTTTTCAAACACAACATTTGAAAACTATAGATGGGATGTCACCCTTAAATACACGAGCAACACTTTAAACGAGACATTCTGACAAAGTGCTATGCACAATACGTCGATGAAGGTTAGACATCCAGGTAATACGATATGCCAAAAAACAGTTACTCAAGCAACTGGATATGATTTTGAAAACGTCAGACGTTTCAGCTAGTATCCACTAGCTTTCGTCAGTGACTGAGAGACCAGAGGGGAAAGCAGGTTTATATACACAACCTGTTGATTGATATGCAAATAAAGTGAAGACAAATTTTTGGAAGTCGAAAAAGGAACAAAAGTCAGACAAGTCAAGACAAGATGATGCAAATTAGTCTGAAAGCTCCTGTATTACAGGACAGGAGCTTAAGTGTTGTCTGTCCTCGGGGCTGGGAGTGCCAAATCCCAAGTGCCGGAAAGATCGACCCGTAGCCCCCCTTCCCTGTTGAGGGTGGGGTTGTACATTCTTTCATATATTGCCTCTTTAACACCCCGTTCCCACCAGCGTGTTTCGCGGTCTAAGACATCCGTGGACTCGAGTTTGAAAGAGTGACCCTGGTTGTGTTGTAGGTGGTGGAAAATAGCTGAGGAGTAGCCGTTGGCACTAGGTCGGCAATTGTTCTTTGTACCTTACTTTAAGCGGTCGACTTGTCTCTCCGATGTAGGTGTTGTTACAATTGGGCTCCTCACATTTGAGTCTGTAAATAACATTCGCCTTGGTACCCTTGTGAGGTCGGTCCTTAGGGTGTACCAGTCTTTGTCTGAGGGTTGAGTGAGGTTTGAAGTTAGTGGCTACGTTGAAGTTTTGGAAGATCCGTCGGAGTTTCTCAGATACTCCTTGGACACACGGAATAGTGATGCTGGCCTTGTTTTGTTGGTCAATGGTTTGAACTTCTGGTTTTTCTTAGACTGATCTGAAGGTTTGAGCGCTTTGTTGAAAGTCCAGTTTTGGTAGCCACATTTAGCCAGGGCACCTCGGAGGTGTCTTTGTTCGTCCGTTTTGGCTTGGTCTGAAGTGACAATGTTGTCTGCATCTGCATCTGCAGAAATCAAAGACATTCATGTAGAGGATGATGAAACCATCACTTCGTATGACGTGTGCTCACTTTTCACCTCCATACCACCCAAGGAAGCAGTGTCAGTAGTCAAGGAAGCCTTGGAAGCCGATGATACACTTGCAGATAGAACCAACCTATCCGTTGACCAAGTTTGTGAGCTACTAGAACTCTGCTTAGGATGCACATACTTTACCTACAAAGGACAGTTCTACCAACAAATGCACGGCTGTGCTATGGGATCACCAGTCTCACCAATTGTTGTAAACCTGTACATGGAGAAGTTTGAAAACAAAGCCCTCAGCACTTTCAATGACACTCCCCCGGCCAACTGGTTTCGATATGTAGATGACACTTGGTGCAGATTGAAAAAGAGGGTAGCTGCTGACTTCTTTGACCACATCAACCAGATAGATGACAACATCAAGTTCACACAGGAGCCAAGCCATGACAACATGCTCCCTTTCCTAGACACCAAAACTATCGTAGAGGAAGATGGTAACCTTCGTTTCGAAGTGTACAGGAAACCAACCCACACTGATCAGTACCTGGCTTTGATTCCCACCACCCTTTGGAACACAAACTAGCAGTGATCAAAACTCTCTTCCATCGTGCAGACAACATTGTCACTTCAGACCAAGCCAAAACGGGCGAACAAAGACACCTCCGAGGTGCCCTGGCTAAATGTGGCTACCAAAACTGGACTTTCAACAAAGCGCTCAAACCTTCAGATCAGTCTAAGAAAAACCAGAAGTTCAAACCATTGACCAACAAAAACAAGGCCAGCATCACTATTCCGTATGTCCAAGGAGTATCTGAGAAACTCCGACGGATCTTCCAAAACTTCAACATAGCCACTAACTTCAAACCTCACTCAACCCTCAGACAAAGACTGGTACACCCTAAGGACCGACTTCACAAGGGTACCAAGGCGAATGTTATTTACAGACTCAAATGTGAGGAGCCCAATTGTAACAACACCTACATCGGAGAGACAAGTCGACCGCTTAAAGTAAGGTACAAAGAACATTGCCGACCTAGTGCCAACGGCTACTCCTCAGCTATTTTCCACCACCTACAACACAACCAGGGTCACTCTTTCAAACTCGAGTCCACGGATGTATTAGACCGCGAAACACGCTGGTGGGAACGGGGTGTTAAAGAGGCAATATATGAAAGAATGTACAACCCCACCCTCAACAGGGAAGGGGGGCTACGGGTCGATCTTTCCGGCACTTGGGATTTGGCACTCCCAGCCCCGAGGACAGACAACACTTAAGCTCCTGTCCTGTAATACAGGAGCTTTCAGACTAATTTGCATCATCTTGTCTTGACTTGTCTGACTTTTGTTCCTTTTTCGACTTCCAAAAATTTGTCTTCACTTTATTTGCATATCAATCAACAGGTTGTGTATATAAACCTGCTTTCCCCTCTGGTCTCTCAGTCACTGACGAAAGCTAGTGGATACTAGCTGAAACGTCTGACGTTTTCAAAATCATATCCAGTTGCTTAAGTAACTGTTTTTTGCTATGCACAATACAGTACAGGTTTTGTTAAGCCACAGTACGTTCTGCCAACGTGCTTACAACACTGTTTCACTTTGTCTTTGTGTACCGTGAAAAAATAAGAAATTACAGTAACAATTTAATTACTCCGTGGGATGTGGAAGAAAAAGGGCAGCAGAACATGTCTAAGGTTGTTTCTGTTTGTAAATACATGTACAAGTCAAAAGTGCATGGATTCTATGTTCCAAAAGTTGAACAGGCATTAATTGAAGTTGTAGTACATTGTAGGCCCTAGACGAGTTATTGAAATTTTCTGTCTCCAGGACTCCTATGGAGACACAGCGCTGCATGATGCCATCGCCAAGGACAACAGGGACATTTTGGACATGCTGCTGGCAGTCCCGACCCTTGACCTTCAGCTGAGGAACAACCGTGGGTTCAACCCACTTCACCATGCCTCTCTGAAGGGCAACAAGTAGTGAGTACAGTTCTTCAACACACTGGTTAGGCCACACCAATTTAATTTCTTGGTTAACGGATTTTTCTAGAAAAATAATGGAGCGGGCGGGCAAAAAAAATAAATAAATAAAAACAGGCCTAGTCATCCTATTATGGCCCAAAATGGTACGATAGAAGCTATGAAGTCAACACACCAGGCTGGTTCAAAATGTAAACAATGAATTTTGAACTTTTGATAATACCATTGCATTTAAAGATGGAATAACTGTAACAACTAGGAAGAAAAGGACTGTTTTCAACTGTTCAGGGCAAATATGAGCATTTTGCAGTTGATTCTGAATTTTTATTTTTATTTGCAAATCAGAAAAAAATGAAGTGGGCGAATCCATTAACCAAGGAATTAAATTGGTGTGGCCTTATCCCTAAAAAAAGTTCTTTGAGACAGATGGCTAGCAATATACTTTGTACAACCATGCTTGTGTTTTACCACATATTGAAGTCTCTTTAAATTCTCTTCAAAAGAACTTAAATTCAATTTGATAGAATATATCACAATCATCGAAAAACTATGAAAGAAATTGTACTTCAGAAAACATATACATGGCTGTTCATGCATAAACTTGCTTACCGAAAATTAAATTACAGTAAAGTATACACCCCTGCTGGTTGGAAACAAGTTTGCCTGTTTGAAACTTTAAAAAGTCAAATAAAAGTACTCATAAAATAATACTGTGCCCCCCTCCTAAGCATAAGGGCAGAACAGTTAAAAAAAGTGCATACTTGAGTCAGGAATTTTCAGTAGTAAGACTAAGCTAAGTTGTACGTGTACCTAACCTCACCACTTGTTGCAATTGGGTGTGTATCTCTGTCCACAGTGCTGCAGAAAAGATCCTGTCCATCTGTCCCCAGCTGGTGGATGAGAGGAAAGATGACGGGTACTCAGCACTGCACCTGGCTGCTCTTAACGGTCACAGGGAGGTGGCAGATGTCTTAATCACACAGGTGGGGGACTTTTTTACTTCTTACAAAAGATTTAGTTATGAGGAATTTTCCACATTTTGTGGAAGGATTGCTATAAAAGGTGACTATCGCCTCTTCAAGATGTCAAACCTGAGACCAGACTGTAAGGTTTGAACCACTCAAACTGGGAAAGAGAGATTGAGCTCATGATACAATTAAGATCTAAGTCCAGTCTTATTAGAGGGCCTGCAAGCCCTTTTTCGTAAGGCGTAATCAGGCCGTTTTAGACTTCGTAATTCTCAGGCAGCCTCCGCAAAAATCAACGTAATTCGTAATTGGACATTAGCCGCTAATCGTAAAGTCGTAATCAGCTCTGAGACTTTAACGTAATTTGTAATAGGCAGCGAAAATTTTGCGTAATTCGTAATCACTACCCCCCCTTGCAGGCCCTCTTATTACTAGCATTAGTCCAATTGAAGGCACCAAGGTGACCAATTATTTGAGTCACACATCATCACACACCACCCAACCAGCTATTCCCATCTTTGCCCCCGACCAGCTTTTTATGTTTACCTGTTTCCTTTTCTTCTCCAAACCAATAAGGTCAATGACCTGAACCAGACGTCTGTCACCATGGTAACTAGTGTTGGGTTACATCATGTTGCAATTCTATAGCAGGAGGGATTTAGACTCCTGTCTGACCATTATATAGTATATGAATGTGTTTGAGCAAGAATTCACAGGTATGCAAAGGTAAACATAATGCATTTGCTAAAATGTTACTTTTTTCTAATTTTGGAGCATTTCTTGTTTCCCTCTTTTCAGGGCCACTGTGAGGTGAACATCCTGAACAACCGTCACCAGACGCCGCTGCTGCTGGCCGTGAGTCAGGGCCACACCGCCGTCATCGAGCTGCTGGTCTCACGCAGCGCTAACGTCAACATGGAGGACGAGGAGGGCGACACGTGTCTGCACCTCGCGCTCATGAGGCAGTCCGACAACACCAACCTCGCCAACTCACCACAAGTCGCTAGTGTGAGCACCCGCCGCTTTGCTTCTCTGTGTCCTACTTTGCTTTGAATTCTTTTTTCTTCTGCCATGCCCGTAGCCAGGATTTTTAATGGGGGGTTCTTTCCACTGCTTGAGGGAACAGCAAGTGCTGTTAGCGCGAGGCGAGCGCCAAAGGCACGAGATTCCTAGGGGGGTCCAGGGGCATGCTTCCCCGGGAAATTTTGAAAAATGAACCTTCTGAAATGGCATATCCTGCATTTTTTAGAGGATTTCAAAGAAAAAATCAGAGATAACTTTTTTCAATGACAATGTGAGCAGTTTTCCTACGAATCCAGCCTCGCTGGTGACACGAATCAGTCCATCTTTTAAAGAAAAATCTTGGAGCTTTAGATAAAAAGTGGACCTTTGGGCCTTGTGGGGGGGGTTCGTCCTGTCCCCTGGCTACGGGCATGGGGATGGGAGGTTAACACGCTAGGTCTCTTATGTATCCACACTTTTTCACTGTGTGTTACCCCTGACAGTGTCTCAATAGTGAAGTATTTTGCTTCAGAGATGAAAACATATCCAGCTCATTTGGAAACAATGCTTGTACCTAATCATGTTGAAATGAAATTTGAATGTTAGAGTTTACAATTGAACCATAGAAAAGTACCCTTAAACAGCTTAATGTTTGTGTTATTTATTTCGTGACATGTTTGTATTTAAACTTCAATCTAGTACATTTTTCCTCCATTTTGTAGTTTCTTTTTCCTATGCCATCTTCATATGTGATGTCTCTCTTTTTCTTCCACCATCTCCAAGTGTAATGTCTCTTCTCTCCACTGTTGCCTTCCTTATCCAGACCTATTCCCTTCCATCCAAGAAGCTCTTAGCGTACCTCCCCTTCCAGGAGCCCCTGAGTGGTATGGCCCAGTATATCTGGGACTCTGTGGTCAAACAGCTAGCCAACATGAACAAACAGGTGTCCACCGTGTTTTCCTCTCTCGCCATGCATCCTGTTTACTCCTGCTGTATTCCATGGCCCGTTGTTCTGCGTTAGTTGTTTGTTTGCCTGTTTATTTTGGGTCTGTATAATTGCTGGCTGTTTGCGGTTATTCTTCTTGGGTGCAGAGCTTTTCTACTACTACATAACTCTACTACAGTGGCAGAATTGCAAGCCAAAAAATTAATGCATAAAAGTCATGACATTGAGGAGAATGCGTAATTACTAAATTAGTCATCTGTTGAAATGGCCCATCTCCATTACACTGCACTTTTGCAAGCACCTGGCATCAACTGGTTATGTTGCATCACCTAACTTTTCCTATATATCCCCTGCATCTCTAGCTCATACTGCTATGATCGCATATGCAAAAGTTGGGAACACCAACCTCTACTGTTAACCCTGTTTGGCATTTTTACCGCTAACAATTGTTCTTGATTTGTTCCTATCTCTGTTACTATTCACCACTACTATTACTTATCAGTCGTTCAGTATGCAATGGCCTTTTATTTAGAAAAAAATATCCTGCACTTCCACAAACAGGCAAATTAAAAAAAAAAATTATATGTATCAAGTGACAGAAGTTGCATCTAGAACTAGACAGATCTTTTGAAAACGTCACCATACTTAACCGTACAAAATGTTGTTCTGGCACAGATCCACTCGTCTATGGGTATTGGGGACGCCGGAGGGAATGCAGGAGCTGCCATTGCGTGTTTCCTGGTGCAGGAGGGAGCCAACCTGAATGCTGCCAACCAGCGAGGCCAGACACCCATGGACCTGGTCACTGACCCAAGGGTTAAAGAACTTATCCAACAGTTTGCCAGTGCCAGGAGGTAGGGATGTCATACATCTTTTATGTCCATTGGCAGGGCTCGAAATACCAGATCTGCATATTCACCTTTGTGTAGGTAAAAAGTGGAGCTGTGTACAGGTATTTCTGATCTTGGAAGTTCATCTGTGTTGGTAGAAGTCATTATGAAGCAAGTTTAAACTGTAATTTCCAACACAACAAAATGGACTCACCCAAATTTCGACTGTACAACTCCAGTCTTTGTCAAGGAATGAACAAGGTATTTCTGATGTCTACCTGCACCTAACATGCGCTGGTCCATGTACTGGGTTTATATACATGTAGGTGTACATGTGTGGATTTTTATTTGCTGCCCTGGCTGTTACCACCTATGAGTATGAAGCATAAAAGAAATAATGGCAATGGTTTCTGCTTGTTTTTTAGTATGACCCATACTTCCTAAATCCTTAGTGGTACAGGTAGAACTTGTCTGGTGCAGATATTTTTCAATGATGCGTACACCAGTGTATAATGTATATAGTTGCAGAAAAAAAGGATTTCAAGTCCTGACTGAGTAAATTCAGGAATACTTCTGATTGTATCATTGATTAAAATGAACTCTTTGACGTAGCCTCCAAATTCTACCCAAACTTTCACACATATACAAATGAAAACTACTCTCCTCTTAACATCCAAAAACCCACAAATTACAGAAAAAGTGGGATCCTTTGTCTTCCTCTGTCTTCAAAAAAGAAGTCAAACCCAGTAGTTTTTACTAGTATTTTCTTAGTAGTTAATAGTAGTTCCATGTGTACTAATTATCTGTTTTTATACCAAATGTTTCTTCTGTTCATCAGGAAGATGGCAGACGGTCATCGAAATCTCAGCTCTTGTGGAACAAGTGGATGTGAATAAAGAACTTTGCTAAAGAACTTTGCTATTCTGTAGTGTCCTAGAATAGACACGGTAGAATCTGCATGGTTTAGACAGGTACATACCAAGTAAATTTTTGATAGATTTTTGATGAATTATGTACATTTATAGGGACATGGAAGCCCAAAGCTCACGTAGCCAGGCTGATGGAATCAGACCAGGTCCGTCAAACCCAGGCCAGCGAGAGTGTGGTCCTCTAGACGTGGAGGTGGACTGTACAGAGTGTATAGTGTGTGATGACAACATGGCCAACGTCAAGTTTGAGCCATGTAACCACACCATTGCCTGTGTAGGTAAGGGAACGTTAAATCTTGCCGGTGTAGAGCAAGCTGGTGAAGTGTAGACATCCAGGTAACCGATAGTCATTAAAGAATAATGAAATTAAATGAAATACCTTTATTGTACATTCATGGTACAGGTCAAGATATAACAAACGTATATATAAAATTGGAGACAAGAGATGCACTACTTACATACATAAGGCCACAGCAAGTAATTTTTATGGATGACATCAGCGCGCGCATTAATTTTCGACTGATGTTGGAAAAAAAAACAAAGAAATTTTGTTGCCTTCTGACTGTGTTCAATATGCCGAAAAAGGGCAAAGATGTCTGTTGCCATGACGGAAGGTGGATGGCAGATAATGAAGATATGAAGACAGGAGACAAGCAGAGGCTCTGATTTAATGTTTTGTTTCTTACTTTGATGCAGTGACATGTGATGTTGGCTGTGTATATGTGATGTTCCCACTGAATCAAAACCATTTGTACAATGATTGAGTCAAAATATAACAATGTAGGAACCTTGTTTTTTTCGGCCCGCCTTGTTTTTTTTTCGCCCGCTCGCATTAGATTTGGAGTCTGCGGAGGATGTCATCCATAAAATTTACCTGCTGTGGCCTAAGGAACACACAAGGGCACTATATATACTAGGCTAATGCAAAGTGTTCTAGTCACTGAGCTAATAGAGGTCAACTTCTCACTTTTTTGTACAGTGGAAAATGTGGGAGCAGATCATGTTTGTTATACAGGGTTTGTCTAGACGAATCAAAAATATAAATTTATTATTTGCACTTAGGTGTTCAAAGTATGGGAACTTCTCTTTGATATGATTAAAAAGGACTAATAATGAAACTACAACTGAATAAAGATTGGCATGTATATGCTGTGAGCATCACTTTTGAATAGACTTGAAGTAAACTAATGCTAATAAGACTGGACTTAGATATACACTGCTTATAATTGTAATGTATCATGACTCTTTCTAATGGAGAAGAGATATTTTGTAACATGATATTTGGGGTTACATACAGTAAAGCATTGCATCACTTCTTGTTTCATTCAGCAAGTCTTTCCCTCTCTTGACATCTGCTTGGTTTTAATTCGTATCCAACTCCCAACGATGGATTGTGATACTCAGCAGGGTCTACTCAGTGAAAAAATTATCATCACCATCTACGTTTTTTTTTCAACTTTGGTATTTTATGACATTCATCACAGACCTTACATAATAAATGATTGTATGTTTGTCCTGTCCAGAGTGCTCGACCAGGATGAAAAAGTGCATCAAGTGCCAACAACCCATTACCAGGAAAGTCAAAATAGGTAGGAGCTCGAACATTCATACACAAATATTGTACACTAGCTCAATAGTTTTAGGAGAAAATAACCGAACATATTGTGTGTTTCTAGAGAGAAAGATAACTTTACATGTATACCCTATCTATGTAACAGACATCATTTAACATGAAATATCATGCTGGATATTTGAATATTTCCACAATTTTAGATAGATGTATATTCATTATTACAGAATTTAACATCTATGTATACATAGACTACTCTGAAGTGTGACATCAACCCTGGGTCAAAGGTATCTGGTAGATGATGTCGGCCCCCATCGCGGTTCGATGAAGGGGTTGTGGGCCCTGATGTAAATCATTGAACCGCGACGGGGGCCGACATCGTCTACCAGATACCTTTGACCCAGTGTTGACGTCACACTTTAAAGAAGCCATGTGACAAGCTTCACTGGGTCAGTCTACTGAAGAACACCAGAGTGACTGGTCAAAAGCTCTGGGTGAATTTTTTTGTGTTGGACCAAAAGTTTTAACTTAAAACATAGACTACTCTTCTTTAGTGTAACATTCTTGCTACAATATGAACAAAAGATAATATTTTTAAAGTCTTAATGCCAGGTGGTATTCAGCAACCTTTACATGTATGAGAAGGTTATAAGCTTATTCCAAAATTTTTGAATGAACCTACATGTATATTACATCATATTGCAGATGGCCAACCAGTAGAGGTTCAGCCAACCAGAAACATCCTTCCAGAGAAGGTCGTCGAGTTGGAACGAAAAGTCCGGGAGATGGAGGAATCTGCGCTCTGCATGATCTGTCTGGAACGGAAGCGAAACGTTGCGTTCCTGTGCGGCCACGCAACATGCGAACAGTGCTCCCGCCCTCTCAAACACTGCCCCATGTGTAGGAAGACCATCACAAAGAAAATCGCCCTTTACCTATGACAGTAGCGTGCAAGAACAGTAAATACTTTACCATTTTCTAACATGACCATGTAAACTAGAAAAGGAACATTTGAAAAGCAAATGCATAATGTTTACCTTTGCATAACGTCTGCTCTGTTAATTCTTACTCAAACACATTGAAATATATGGTGACGAGTCTAAATCCCTCCTACTATAAAATTGCAACATGATGTAACCCAACACCAGTTACCATGGTAAGAGACAGTCTGGTGGACCAGGTCAGAGGTCACTGTTTGGAGAAGGAGAAGAAACTGAGCAAAAACAATATGTTTTCCTTTGGTAAACATAACTTACTGTAGAGTTTGAACCTATCAATTCTAACCATGGTGGGTAAATCATACTGGGGGGAAACAGTTTACACAAGAAAGATATGTTAACTTTGTAGAAAGATACTCCATATCATTAAGTTTTTGATCTGTTAGTTCTCTATAATACTGTGTAATCTATGTTACATGTATACAGTTTTCTTCATTACAGAGAGATTGCAATTCATGCATGGATGTTGCTTGTATGGGAATTCTAGATTCTAAAATGTGAGAAGTTTTCATCTCAGTACATTTACCATATTTATTGTCTGAAATTAGTACCCTTCTAAGAATAATTCTTTTTCAGAATAAAGGCATGGACATTGGGTTTTGGCTATACCCCTGTCCTATAGCATTGAAGCTTGCTTCAAGATCTGGAGAGGAAAAACAAGTGTGCATAGGTGCAAGTCTGACTTACAAAAAATGGCGCAAGGAAATATCTTTATTGTTTATGTCAGTATTGCTTTTTGATATTGTAGCACAGCACTGGAGGAAAACATATTTTTGAAAAATGTGGGCTTTAATTATAGGACTTGCAATACTTATGCACAATGTTTCTGATAAAACCAAATACATTGTTTCTATCATTTTAGAACAGTATCCCATCACATTGAAAACTTAAAACTGATAGATGCCGGATATTCTCATGCTTACTTATGAAAATCCCCATAATACAATAATAACAATGGAAGCAAATTCATTATGTTTTTCTTATATACTAGTACGTACATGGTTACTACTTCATTTGCATCAGTATGACATTGTGTAACCATACAATTTTACTTTTCAAAACTATATATGTGTGAATTACATCTCACTACAAAGTCAAGCTATTCTCTGAACTTTGTCATTGAAAATTTTGCAGTTTGCTACCCTTTATCAAACCCATATGATGAAACACCCCCAGAAAAGACAAAAGGCTTAAAGGGTGCCAAAAGGCAAATCGATCAACTGTGCTATAAGCAATATTACTTTGCAATAGACTCTCAGTGCAGTTACACAGAAAATGTTTTTTTATTATTAATATGTCTCATTGTCTGTAGGTCGACCATTAATTTTTTTTTGTATACAACCAAGTTCTCTATACCTGACTATATTTCAGTAGCCCCTCTGCTAGATGGTATCAGAAAGACTACAGAAATGTTCATTTCTGTTTAATATGTCTTTATTTGAATTCATGAATGATGTCATGGAAATTAGATCTGATAAACATGTTATCTTGATGCCAAAAAAAGACAGCATGAAGATATTTTTAATTAAAAAAGATGCTGCAGAACTAAGTTGACTGGACATTGTGTATATAGTTGTCTGCAAAGTACTTTATGTTATGCATAAGATTAGGCCACACCAATTTAATTTCTTGGTTAACGGATTTGCCCGCTTCATTTTTTCTGATTTGCAAATAAAAATAAAAATTCAGAATCAACTGCAAAATGCTCATATTTTGCCCTGAACAGTTGAAAACAGTCCTTCTCAACCTAGTTGTTACAGTTATTCCATCTTTCAATGCAATTGTATCATTAAAAGTTCAAAATTCATTGTTTAGATTTTGAACCAGCCTGGTGTGTTGACTTCATGGCTCCTATTGTACCATTTTGGGCCATAATAGGATGCCCAGACCTGTTTTTTTTTTTTTTTCGCCCGCCCACTCCATTATTTTTCTTTAAAAAATCCATTAACCAAGAAATTAAATTGGTGTGGCCTTAGCATTTTTTTTATACAACCAAGTTCTCTATACCTGACTATATTTCAGTAGCCCCTCTGCTAGATGGTATCAGAAAGACTACAGAAAATGTTAATTTCTGTTTATGTCTTAATTGGAATTCATGAATGATGTCATTAGATCTAGTAAACATGTTATCTTAATGCCAAAAAAAGACAGCATGAAGATATTTTTTAAATGATGCTGCAGATTGACTTAACATTGTGTATATAGTTGTGTGCAAAGTACTTTATGTTATGAATAAGATCATTATGCTTGTGAATCTGCAACTACTGTTGAGATGGAAGGTATGGAAGTGAGGATGGATACTGTATCGGTCAGTTTGTATACCCTCCTAAGTTTTTGCCCAAAAGTTAGTATTTTGTGAATTGTGAAGATTGAATAAAGTGGTCATCTGTATTAAACTATAGATTCATTGTTTTGTCATTTTTGATAATTTTGTAGCATTGGCAGACTCTGACCATACACAAGTCAAGAGGATCCATACAGCTTCCCAAGTGATGATTACTATTTTCATAATTGATTTGAAAAGTAATTGGCCAGTTACATGTATACATGTATTGTAATGATACAAAGGGTTGATGCTACATTGGACTTATCATTACATTGAATTTGTGGCTCTACATGTTTTAGCATTGCAAGGACGTTATAACTAGTTGTCTGAAGCTTCTTGATAGTTTAACAAGGTGTCATCATTAATAGTACTTTGTATGGAAGTGTATGGAAAGAGCCGGTGTGTTATGAATTTTAACCCTATCTAGACCGGGCTTTTTTGGGCTTGGTGGGACGGGGGGGGGGCTCATTCGGCCCCCCTCAGAACTCGTGAACGGTATATTGTAGGACCACCAAATTTTCAGAGGATGGTGTACTAGTAAAAATGTATCATACGTACAATTTTTATGTCGTTGTGACGTAATATGACGTCATTATGATGTCATTGATGTGATTTTATTGGCTAAAACCGTCTAGATAGGTTATTCCCTGAAAACTAAACGGTATACGACATAACTTTACCAAAAGTGTTTGTGACAGAATATTAGGGTGTACTAAGTCTTATGTTGCCCATAGCAACACCGGTGACGTCATAAAATGACGTCATGTATATATTACCTATCCGCCATCTTGGATCACCAATCTTGAATTTTTAAAAAATGTTTTTTTTTTCAGGATAAAGCCTAAAATACATTGTAAACAGACTAAAGACGTTCATATGAACCCCCCCCCCGGTCTAGATAGGTTTTAATGCAAAATCCAATGCCACCCTATAGCTACATGTCTTCACATTACAATACCAAACGCCCAATGATATTTTCTTTTTTACACGTAGACAGGTTTGTTTACTTCTGTGTACTTTTACGGGCGATGATAGCTGCGTTAGCTGTACTGAAAAGGATCTTATCATCCACGGACGACGAATTACGCAGAAAATACTCCAAGACTTTCGACCTCATCTCGGGGTGTGCGGAGACATTCGACGTTTGCGTCAAGAAGTCGAGAAGCAGTCTTCCCGCCTCCGAATGCTCCTTGAAGCACTCCGCCACGTTGACGTACTGCTCCTGCTCATCAGTGATGACGTAATTGATGCCTAGAGAGTCGAGTGAACGCCTGACGTCACCAGAATTGCGAAGTGTCGTCGTCAGACGATCGTTTCCATGTGGAAACCACTTCCATGTTTCATGGTACAGATTCCCCAAGCCTCTCTTGTCTGCAAATATAACGTTACATAATTAATGCATTTAACAAGCAGATGTAGAAAGTTTAAGCAATGATTAGTAGTGTTAGTTTGTTCACGGGACCCCCCCCCCAATTGTATCGTCATAAGTTTCAGTCTCTACCAGACTAAATGTAACAACGCTCTTTCAAAAAATAGTAAAATTAGCCAGTGAGTTTGTACACCGAAGAATTTACTAGCGCGTTTTGAAGGGGAAGTTAATCTTCCCATGGACTGACTCTCCTGGCCAATTATTCATGCCCGTAGTCCGAAGAACTCCCCACAACGCCCAAAGGTCAACGTTTTATCTTAAGGTCCTAAATTTTTCTTAAGAAGGTGGACTAATATAAAAACGTATGTCTGAGTTTTCTTTAAAATCCCCGCATAAACGCAGGAAATGCCATTTCAGAAGGTTCAATTTTCAAAAGTTTGGTCCCTCAGACAATGGAAAGAACCTCCCAATAAAAATCCTGGCTACCGGCATGTTATTTTCCCCTTTTTTAACTGAATTATACTATCCACAGGATAGGAAGGCCTCGAGGAAACCAATAAATTGTCAGCATACCCGTAAGAGCGAGGACAAACAGGTGGCCTTCCTCATCCAGTTGTTCCCACATGTTCCGCAAGGTGGCGTCGTGGTCGTCCACAAAGTACAGAGCGTGCACGGCATGGGCAAGGTCGAACTTGGTACCATCGGACTGGGAGAAGTACTCTTCCGCTGTCTGTTGGCGCCAGTCAAACTTCACTGCACCCAGGCTCGTGTCATGTTGTACCAGAGCCTACAGGATTATGTTTTATTTATTTCCTTATCAGAAAGCTCATTCCTTTTAAGAGTATTTCTGTAACCTCAAGTTAATATTACCTGTAATTCCTTCATGATACAAAAAACAAAAGTGCTTTCGGTTTCCGTTTTGGGTAGGATACTAGTAATAAGATATTCTACCTGATATTTGTAAAACTGTTGGTGACGTCTTTGAAGGGCGTGGATCAAACCAAGGCTGGCGGCAACGTTAGTGTTCTTCCAAAAAAAGCACCCAATATCCGCGGCAAGTGGAAGGCCACTTTAGCGGTGTCGCAGCCCTACCTTAAAATCCTTTAGCATTTCTCCTGACGGTTCCACGACTCTGTTGTACACGCTGCTTTGCCTTTGCAGGATCTTCCTCAAGATAGCGCTGTCCACCTCTCCTTTAAAATGATAAATCCAGAAGTATGTTCATGAGGTGCAATTTGGCTATCAAACTGACACGAAAGCATAACCTTTTTGGCGAAGGTAATTATTATCTTTACCAAAGGAAAACATATTGTTTTTGCTTTGTTTCCTCCCCCCTACTGTGCAGGCCTCCGGACGGGTGGGAGTTTTGATACTGCGTTTTGTAGAATTTTTAACGCGTTCTTTTTATTACCGCCCATCCTATAACCATACCAGACACCTGCTGTAGGGGGGGCGGCAAAAGAACGCGTTAAAAATTCTACAAAACGCAGTATCAAAACTCCCACCCGCCAGGAGGCCTGCACATGAGGCAATGTTTCCTCTTCTCCAAACCAGTCCTAGTCCCAATGACCTGAACAAGACGTATGCGTCTGTCACCATGGTAACTAGTGTGTATGTTTGAGTAGGAATTAACGCAGCAGACCATGCATATGCGAAAGTAAACATTATCAGTGCTTTTACTTTGCAAATGTTACCTTTCTAGTTCTGTATACGTTTCTCACCTGATCCACTCCCAATACTGAGTACACGGACGGCGGCCCCCTCTTGGCGCGGAGTCGGTATTGGGATGTTGTCCTCTAAAAATTCCAGGTAGGCACGGGGACGTGTCGTCTCAGTCGCAGCTAGGAACGCCTTGTAGGCGGCCTCCCATCGTACTGGGGAGTCCCTGATCAGCCTCCCGACTTGCAACATTGCCCTGGACCCAAAAGAGGCCATGCAGGCCAAGACATACTAAACGACTGGGGACGTACATAATTTTGTAAGGCCGAAAGTAAATAGATAGTTAGATGGGCAGGGTGACAAACATACCAATGCACAAAGACAAGTTTTTAAAAAAAAATCTAACTCACGTGCACCTTGAACACAACTATTTTGTGAGAGAACGCACCAACCCTCCTCGTCAACCGGGACAGACTTTGAACGCACCTTCAACGCGACTATTTTGTGAGAGGACAAACCAACCCTCTTTCAGAGACAGACTTTGAGGCTAGTACTCAATTGTATGAAATCACGCGTGTGGAAAAAAACACCAACACGTCACGAAGGCAGGCCGTGAGATGCTTATCGGTTGGGGACATGAATACTTTTGTAAGGGCGAAAGTTCACATGTAAATTGATAGTTTGGTGGGCAGGGTGACAGACATAAAAATGTACAAAGACAAGCTTTTTGAAAATCTAACTCACTTTGATCGTGACTATTTTGAGAGGATACACCAACATTCTCTAACCTGCGACAGACTTTAAACGCACCTTGAGCGCGACTAATTTGTGAGAGGACACACCAATCTTCTCTCAGAGACACGAAATCACGAGTGCGGAAAAACACAATCACGTCACAGGCTACAGCACTTGGGTCAGATAGCTGATGAACGGTTTTCTCATTGTATAGTTTACCAGCTCAGAGTATGCTAATCTGACTTACCTTCTTAATCCTAGGAAAAGTAAAACACATCCTTGATGGCCACTGTAAGTGAGCTGGTCTGCAAGTTACCGTTAAGCCTAAGGGCCAATTATGCTAGGGGGTCAAGGGGTGATAGCTATATGACCAGGTATTAAGGCAAAGGAAAAAGTGAAGTTTTGTTACAAAGGATCATTTCCACTAAATAGACTACTTAAACATTAAAGGCTTGAGAAATCGCAAAAGATTTTAACATTAAAGGCTTGAGAAATCGCAGAAGAAGAATGAGTTTCATATGTCTTGCACCCCTAGTCCGAGAAGGTAATGGTCTGTTCGTTGTGGAGTCACAAAGGGGACAAGGTTAAAGAAAGGACATTGGTGGGTTTATGCAAAATGTCGGGCTGTAGCTGGCTATGCCACCAGACACAGCTGGGTTTGCCGTTGACAAAGTTTTTCCTTAAAAATTAAATTCTAGCAGAGGGCAAACCTACCAGGTGCATCATTATAGCTTGGTCTATCATCCTGACTTGCAGACAATATGTACCTTAGTGTAACTGCTGGTAAATAAACTGAACTGAAGACACCACTGCATATCTAGCAGGTGTTAGAAATGGTAGTGTCTACCGCTTAATCCTGCTCTGTATTTAGTTTCTATAGTTGATAATTTCAGCGAAGAAAGCTATGAAGGACGACAAATATAGACCGGTACCTCTTCTGTTGCCCACGGAAATTTCTAGACTTTTGAGAATTTTGAAGAGTAAACAAAGTGGTCATCTGTAGTATACTACAATAGATTCATTGTTGTTTCTTTTTAATAATTTTGTAGCAGTGGCAGGTCCTGACCATACAGGAGTCAAGAGGATCCACACAGGTTTCCAAGTTGACGTCTGATGTCCTTGATGATGATGATGATGATGGACACAGAGCATCTTATTAGTCTATATAATATAAGTACATGTAACAACGTGAGGGGGGGGGGTTAAAGTGATGATTGCTATTTTCATAATTAATTTTAAAAGTCAGTTATACATGTACGTACTAATACTACAAAGAATTTATACTACATTGGACTTCTAACTACGTTGAAATTGTGGCTCTAACTTTTTACATGTTTTATCATTGTTGACAGGGTGCCCATTGTGTCATCATTTAATAATAGTACTTGGTACGTATGGCAGTGTATGGAAAGAGCCGGTGACGTTTTGAACTTCAATAACGAATCTTTTTTTTTTCATATCTGTTCTTTATTGACTTGAGTATAAAATACATGTGTACATAGATGATAAACCGTTACATCACATTTATCAATTTCTGTCTGTTTGAACAAATCTTTCACTTAATTACCGTGACAAATTGTCTGTCTGATACCTTCACAGTAATGGCAAAAGATACAACTTGAAGGGCATCGTAATCATAGGATAGAA